ATTAATATGAAGTTAATTCTCAAATTCAATAGAAATCTAGTATTACTGTTCTCAATCTCTTACAGAATCTATTGAATATTGAGATATTAAAACTAGATTTAATATATCTCACTGTACAGAGATCAAAGACTTAGTCAGATCTTGAGATATACTGATTTTATAGTTGTTATATCTGCTGATTATGTATCAAGTACAGTTGCTTAGATATCTCTTTGTATTTTTCTGCTGAGAATGAGTCAGATTGAAAGAGGCAGTACAAGAGTGAGACTTAATATTGATGTCTTGATACATCAAAGACAGAGACAGTTTTTCACAGAGAATATACTTCAGATATGTCTGTTGATTATGTACTTGATACTATTACTGAGATATCTTTTTGTATTTTTCTGCCAGAGGTGAGCCAGATTGAGAAGGGCGGTACATGAGTGAGACTTGATGTTGATGTTTTAAAACATTAAAAATAGACAGAGTTTTCATGAAAGTTGCTTCTCAGATATCTTCACAATTACAGATCAGAGATCTTTCAAAATCAAGAAGATTGATGCATATGATTAGGTCTCTTCACCTTATAATTTGTATGGCAATTTGGCTCAGAGTTGTGATGTGATAGGGGTGAATGAAGGATAATCTCACACAGAAGTTTCAAACAACATCTGGTTCACATTTGACTGAATAACTTTACTATCACACGGGGTATGCGGTCGGCGATGGGGTCAAAATGCTTGTATGATCGAGGGCTTTTCAATGAATCTGTCAGCGGGTTCTTATTCAAACAATTGATCGAGTTCGTGATGGAGCGCTGAATCTGTTATCAAAGCAGTACAAAGTATGTGAATCAGTGTTGTAAATATCTGATAATATTATTAAATATCTTGATATTCTGTTCTGAGATACTGCTATACAACAAAAAGTATTAGATTGATTACAGAGTACTTAACAGAGAAATATTTCTCTTACAACATTTATTTCTGACTTTGATATTAAGATCTTAGAAGCAGATAATCAATCTTGAGAGAATTGAATGAAGATTAGTATACTTAAGAAGATATTAACTTTTGAACTCTTACAGATTCTTATAAGTGTAAATAAAGACTCAACTTATAAAGATTTCTGCACACAGCTCTGAATATTGAATAACTGTCTTATCAAGCTCAAGAGTATATAGAACAGTGATAGAAGATATTACATCTCAGTCACTTATACACTTGCACTGAAGAATAACAATAATGCAGATGTTATGAATTGAGTAGACTTGAATATCTATATATAAGTAAGAGTCTTTACTATCTGAACAGGCTTCTGAGTTCCTGAGATCACTCTCAAAGAAGTTGTCAATCAATGTTAATAAGAAGTATGTATTAACTGTAACTGATCAGAGCATATTACTTTCAACTGCTGATCAGTCTATGTACCTTCTCATTTAAAGAATGAATCAGTGTCTGTTCATGTCAACTACATTATATTAGAGAAAGATTCAGAAGATAACTATGAGAATGTCTCAGTGAAACAGAGAAAAGATTAGCTTCTATTTAAATTTGTAAACAGAAGCTTGAAGAGATCAGATGATAATAATTTAAAGAGAAAATAATAATAAATATAATTCTTGTATCTACTGTGATTGATAACATGTATAATATGAAAGTCATAATAGACAGTGATCTATATTACTATACAATGATAAAATCTTCAGTCATAAAATATTATAATCTTCAGTATATTTTCTTATTAAAACTCTGACTTCTCACAGAATTTAATGATTCAAAAGATGTTTGTATCTGTTACATGATGAAACTAAATATAGATGTAAGAGAACATCAATGTGAAGATGTCTATGTATATAAGATTAATAATCTTGATTATAATCTTATATTAGAACTTATCTAACTATCTAAATAAGACATCTTATTGAATACTTGAAACAGAAGCTTGACATTCTCTAACAATGATAGAATTCATGAAGATAATATGAGAAGCTCTGTATACTGTGAAAGATGTATAAAGCTTCATTGAATTTACTAACTTCTATCAGTGATTTATATAAAACTTCTCAGATATTATAAGATTACTTACAAAACTTATCAAGAAGAACTCAGTATTTCAGTGATCAGTGAACACTGAAGCTGCATTCACATAGATAAAGAAGATATTCATTAACATCTTTCTACTAATAATATTTAACTCTGATTATGAAATAGTTATTAAAGCTGATTTCTCTGACTATATAACAGAAGAAGTGATATTGTAATATAATAATAAAGATATTCTATAATCATATATTTTTATATCTAAGAAACTGAGTCTCACTAAATGTAATTATAAGATCTATGATAAGAAACTTCTTATAATTGTATACTGTCTAGAAGAATAAAACTCTGAACTTTGAAGTATCTCTAAATTTGAGATAATCACAGATTATAAGAATCTCAAGCACTTTATAATCATTTATAGACTCACTGAATAACAGATATGATAATCTGAATTTCTAAGTCACTTTTATTTTATAATACACTATCTCCTCAGCAGTCAGAACTCAATAACAGACACTCTCTTATAATAAGAATAAGATATACTGTCTGATGTGATAGACACACACTGAATGAACTGAGAATATCAGCTCTTAGATCTGAAGATATTAATTAATTAAGATAGAATAACTCATGATACTATACATACTTCTCTGATTAAAATACTCTCTCTCTAAACTATCACTGATACTGATATCTTGACTTCTTCTGAATCTATACTGAATAAATTATAATATATAACAGTTTAAACTGATGAACTTCTTTAAGTACTTACTGAAGCAGTATATTAAGAAGCACTCTGATTTCTCTCAGAGCTATGTATAAGAATCAATATCTCAGAATACTTAATTAATGATAATAACACTTCATAATTCTATGAATAATGTTAAGTTCTCTACTCTGAATTCTTACATACTTTAATAATATAAGAGATGTATAATTCATGTATAATCAGTTACTCAGATTATGAATAATTATATTAAATAATCTTTTAAGAGTTTTACTAATCTGAGATATTAAACAGTATCAGATGTTTTATTTAAAACTATAACTATTATTCTTTCATTATCTTATAAAAGAACTGTAGAAAAGATCTACTAAAACTACTTAATATCTCTAATAGAATCTGATAAGTGTAATAATTAACTTTACTGTTAATCTCTCTAAGAGTAATAATTATAGAAACATTCTGATCATTATAAATCAATTGAGTAAAAATATAATATTGAAATCTTATAATAAGATGAATACTGAATAAGTCACTGAAGCTTTTCTACAGAGTCTATTCTATCAGATATATAAATTACTGAGATTTATAGTATTAGATTAAAACTGTTAATTTATAAGCACTCTCTGAATAAGAATCTGTTAAGTTCTCAAGATTATACACTGTTTATTAACTATCTACTACTCTGAGATCAATGATGCATTAGAATAGATAATTCAGATTATAAAGAATTATCTTTATAAGTTCTGTAATTATTTATAAGATGATTGATATAATCTGTTTCTACATGCAGAGATTACTATCAATAAATAAAATACTATTTTAATAGATATAAGTCTGTTCTTTCTTATATATAATTATCATATAAAAGTGTTAAATCTTTTAGAGATTATACAGTTTACACTGAATCTCTACAGTTTAATTCAGATTACTGATAATATAGTAATAAAGTTTTAAGATATCTATGACTAAGTAGAGATCTTTATAATAACTGTGAAATAAGACTAAGAGAATTAAATTAATATTTACTGAGACTCTGCTGAATAATATAAGATAGAAGACTTAATATAATTAAATCTTAAGAATATACAGATTACATATTTATCTTATACACTGAATTACTGTTATATTAAGTATAAAGTGATAGAAGTTCTAGATAGTTATAACTATTATCTTAATATATTATCAGAAATTTATAATATCTTTTATATAAGCTTACTTTACTATACTATCACTGATCTGTTCTCTTCTTAACTGACTTCTAACTGACAGTTATCAGACATCATAGAAGAAGATAATAAGCTTAAGTGAGAGATTAAGAATATTCTTAATAAGAGACTCTGCAGCTGTAACTGATAATATTTTATAAAATAAGTCAGCTATAATTAACTGATCTGAACTCTGAGTTTTATATTATCTGAAACAGCAGCTCTTGATTAATAGAAACTGCTTCTGAAAGAAGAGAACTAATGTAATAAACTATGTCTGATCAATTATATAGACTATTCTATTACACTTCACAGATTTCAACTACTTCATTCTTGAATATATATACTCTAATTCTCAGTCATTCTTAATCACTGATTCTCAGCTGTTATAAATGTATACACTCTGATTCTCAGTTATTCTTAATCACTGATTCTCAGTTATTATAAATGTATATAAATTCTTCTGCCTTGAAGCTTCACTGTGTATATTATTATATATACATATAAATATTCACTTCAATTGCTGATTTTTATACTTTCTCTTTCTTTTCCTTCTCTAATGTTTTTCTCTTTGTTATATAAGATCTATCAATATAATATCAATCTATTTGATATAGGCCTCTTACAGAGAGATATAATCTAATGAAGAAGTTCTTGAAGTAGTTAATTATTATTATAATTTATAAGAAGCTAGCTGCTATATGACTTTTTATAAAGAGCTTGTAATTGCTGATTGTATGAATTAGCAGCTTTATCAAGTGTGTAAGTGAAAGCAGTCAGCTTGCAAAAGAGGCAATCTGACATCTTTTTCTTTATATATCTTTTAAATAATTTCAGAGTATCAAAAGATGTTAACAATACTTTAATTTGTAAAAGGTTTTTGTATTCTGAGCTGGAATTTTCTAAATATTGCATGTCTGAAATTAATAAGTATATAATTGACTGTATAAATTCTAGAAAAACCCTGAGAACTGAAATTTCTCAGGTAGATGTCATAGTCTCTGACTGCATACATCTATAATTGAAGAATAATAATAATAATAGCAACCTTTTCAATCAAGCAAGCTTTACACCTTTCACAAATATTTCATGCGACTTAGCGCTGCAGGATCCCTCTGTTATTAGCTATGTGGCCGGCTGCTGTTCAATGAAGGTTCAAAATTATGGAGGCCTGAGCCTTTGTGCGCTGGTTGCAGATCGGTTTCCTTTCACTCAATTTTTGTGAGAAAGAGATATCTAAGCCCCTCCGGCAATTTAAAAAAGGACGCCCCTCTCTCCCACATATTTCAACAGAACAGCCAACAGATCTATTAGTTATACCAACAATCCAGTCCCTCATCAAAGCAGACCTTGCTTGACTCTTTACTTTGATGAAGTCATTTCTCACAAATACAATTCAATCATTCTTGGATTTACCCTGACTCTATCTATACTCGACATACAATCCGTACAAAAATGTCGGAATCAACGAAACCAACGCAAACAAAAATACCAGAAACAAAACTCAAATCCTACCTCGATATAGTCCACGAGTGTGATTCGTATACCCTCCTACCCTACATCAACCATATATTTAACATATATCATCAAGCTGACAACGCGATCTTCTTCAGGTTCCCGTATATGCAGCAGGACGTTGAGGCCTACAGGAAATACGTTTCCGCCTTCCATGCATTCAAAATCAATGGCTACCCCCAAATCCTCGGCTACATGAGGAATGAGATAGTCGAAAAGTTCCCGTGGCCTGAACCAACATGGAAGGTGGTCAAGAGCGCAGAAGGAGAGTCCGGCACGATAACTCTTATGTCACCCATAGGTGCAACAGCAGATGAGCGCACTAAGTTAATCAACGACACACTCCAAACGGCCCGTGATACATTCGACGTCATTAAAGGGAAGGCGTGGCGCAATGAAAACTACCCCATCCGCATCCCCGGGAAGGAAGAGGTGCTCGGCAGCATGGAGCGTGCGGCGGCATGTCTCTTTGGTATCCAGACCTGGGGCATCCACATGACAGCCTACGTCGTGAACGACAAGGGAGAGTACCTGCTTTGGGTCCCAAAACGCTCGGAGACAAAGTCAACATTTCCGGGAATGTTGGATAACAGCGTTGCCGGTGGTATGGCAACGGGTGAAACCCCGTTTGAATGCATGTTGCGGGAGGCCGATGAGGAAGCATCTATCCCGAGGGAAGTGGCGAAGAACGCGATAGCGACCGGTGCTTTACGCTACATCTACGAACGGGGTGCGGATGCTGGTGGTGAAAAGGGGCTATTGCAACCGGAATGCGAATATATCTACGATCTCAAGCTTCCTGCCAATGTCATTCTTAAGCCGAATGATAACGAGGCGGCTAATTTCATTCTGATGCCGATCAATGACGTTATTACGGAGCTGAAGAAGGGTAAATTCAAGTCTAACTGCGGAATAGTTATTGTCGACTTCCTCGTCAGACATGGGTTTATCACACCAGAAGGGGAGTCTGATTATGAGGAGATCTGTTCTAGAATGCACCGAAAGCTCGGGTACCCGAATCTCTAAATGGAGCCTTTTTCTCCATTACCTTCGTTTCTCTTTATTTTCATTTTGTTTTCTTTCCGCTTCCCTCTATCATTTATCTTTGGCTTGGCTTTCTGTTGCACGCCCTGATAGAGTTGACACAAGTTTGGTTTCTTTCTCACAGACACCCCTTTCGAGCTTTGTCCTAGTTTTATTTTCAGGTATTATAATAATAATAACTACAAGAATGAGAGAAAACGCCCACGCTCAATGCCCAAGCTCTAAAGAATATTATTCTAACTGAATTTTTGCATCTCCGTTCATTTGAACCTATTGGGTTCCGCGGGTTGGTCATGCGCGTGTATCACATCGAGAATAGGCGCTGAAGTCACCAAGTAAAAAAAAACTTGAACTTTCTCCCTAGGTATATGAGTTTATATCCGCTACTTTTTCATCAGAAGGTAGATATAATCGATCCTGAGCGGATTAAGCTTCTTATATGGGCCTTCCAAGTAGAGCAAAAGCCCTCCGAACGAAACGAAAACAGACCTACACAAGATCAAAGAGGCATTCTATTAGCTCCAACTTCTATGGTAAAAAATTAAAAAGAAAAGAAAAAAGGAAAAAAAAGAGCAGAACAAATAAATACGATGTATTCAAACAAATCTCCAACTCACATATTCTCCGCCGTATTCCCTTCTTCAAACCGATACACCTTCCCATGGCATACGTAGTCATAGTCGTTCGCCAGCGTTTGCTCCCCCATGCCAACATCCCTCCAAGCACCTTTACCACCCGCGCTATCATCTTTTCCATCGAGAGCAAGCGTAGACGCAAGCGCGAGGGACAATGACTCTCCTGTCGAGACGGGATATAGTTCTGTGTTCACATCGAGGGTGAAAGTTGTCAGGTTGTCGGAAGAGGTACAGCTGATGCGCGCTACACGGTCGTATTTTTGCGCATTGATGGAGGTGATGGTAAAGGTGTCTTCGAAAAGGACGGGGTCTGACATGGTTGAAGCGGCGGAGGCGGAGGGAATCGGCCGCAGGTTGCGGGCCCGTGCAGTTAGAGGTAGGGTTTTGCGCCTTTTCTTTTGAGCTGTAAGATAAATGCGCTATACGAGTTTGGTGGGTATTGCCTGGAGAATTGTAGAAATAATGCGCTGTCCGTTCCGGGTTTGATCTGGTCCTAAGAGCTTGCGGTGCTGTTGGGAAAAAGGCTCTTTTGCGGCTTATCTTATCAATTTTTTTGGGCGCGTTGTGGTGCTGCTTTATGACTAATTCTTCCGTAGTTAACTTAACTACACATTAAAGCGGTGGGGTCCCCTAAAGCAGCAGTAAATATCTCTCGCCCTTGGCTCTTTTTAAGTTATTTTGTGACGAACTTCTTGATTCTCATAAGCTATATGTAGAAATTTTTCAACATCCTCTTTTGTTCGCTATCATGTCATTCCGCAAAAGGAATATAGGTCTATCGCCAGGCTCACCCCGTGGAATTGCTCCCAATCTACCCAGTTCGCAACCGTCGCAGCCTCCGCAACCGCCCACCAAGCCTACTTTAGGACTCCGCCCCTCACCTATCGATGGGCGACAGACCACGTCCACCGGTACTCCAACCTTAGATAATTTATTAGCCGGGCATGCAGGATTAGTGCTGGGGAATTCGCTTCTGATTGAAGAAAGCGGTACAACCGATTTTGCCGGTGCTTTGCTGAGGTATTTCGCTGCTGAGGGTGTGGTTCAAGAGCACCAACTTCATATCATTGGTGTTGGTGAGCAATGGGGGAGGGCTCTTCCTGGGCTTGTTGGAGCGGGAGAAACTGCAGATGATAAACCTAGTAAAAGCGCAGGAGAGAAAATGAAAATAGCCTGGAGATACGAGCGATTGGGCGAATTTGGCGCTGGCGTCGCAGGGTCTAGACGTATGTTGGTCGATAGTATTTTTGTGTCTATTTCCCCCATGACGAGGAGCATGGTTTGGTCAGGGTGTCTGAGGAAGTACGCGAATGGCTAATTATTTAAACAGCCCCTGCTCCAACAGCAGAGAAAACTGCAGACTCATCACAATACCCCCCGGCACCGCAGGTGTTCTGTCACACGTTTGATTTAACGAAGCGCCTGGCCCATCCCTCTCTCCCTTCTATAAATTACATCCCTCTTTCAACCTCCTCAACACCAACTGCATCTCCGTATACATCTGCTCTCCATCGACTGTCTACCGCAATATCAACTTCACCCCCAAATATCATCCACCGAATAATAATTCCATCCCTGCTTTCTCCAGCTTTATCCCCCCAACATGCCAGCCAACCCGAACACGTATTGCAGTTTCTGCATTCCATGCGCGCCATTCTGTCGTCGTACTCCAATCGCGTAACGGCGATGATTACCCTCCCATTATTCCTATACCCTAGAGCCTCGGGACTCACTCGATGGATTGAACTGTTGAGCGACGGTGTTATCGAGCTCGCACCATTCCCACATCTATCCGATGCCAGCCCATCTGCAACATCGGGAGCAGCCACAGCACAGGAAGAACCACCACAGGGTATGCTCAAAATCCACCGGCTGCCCGTTCTGCATGAGCGAGGAGGAGGGGGCGGGGATAGCAGTTTGGGCGACGATTGGGCCTTCACTCTTAGCAGGAGGAAATTCGCGATTAAGCCATTTAGCCTGCCACCCGTGGAGGGGGATAACGAAGCACAGCAGGGTGGCGCTTCAGGTGGAACGAGCAAAGAACATCTAGAATTCTAATCATCTCCAAATTATTTTCCTGGGCGATTGAAGTTGTAACCTATATCTCGATCATAAGGCATCATCACTGTCATAACCATCCGCACGATCTCTTAACATATCCTCCAGCTCAATCTGCTCGGACATAGCAGAACCGCTATTCGTCATCGTCCGTAAATAACTACGATCGTAGATGGCCTCTCGGGGGTTGATAGAGAAACCTGCAATGCGGGCACGGAAGCTATCCCCGAGGCAGGAGGTCAACACCAAGAACGCTGTAACCTGAGTTAGCTCAGGCCGATAATTACGTATGTGGTATTCGTGTAGGTACTCACCTAGAAAGAGGAGAAACGGTCCCAGAAAAAGGAGGCTGAGAAGCCATATGACGTTCATTGGAGGTAACGACACTGCCTTATATGCGTAAAATAATAGTAAATGCTAGCATTGAACATTGGCATGCTGTGTTTGAAGTTGAGACCAAGCGGGGGAGACCCAAGTCACATGATTGCACGGCGTGCATAGTGGCCTATTAATCCAAAAGTAGTTAGTTCGTAATTGAAATCAAGGCTGAGCATGCTGAGAGAACAAATTTTCTTCCCATTTTCAAACAACTTCGAAATCCTAACCCACTGAGGATGGTCAACCATTTGACGCTCATGACAATGTGTAACTGGTAAGTGAAAAATCGAAATGCCATTCTTGAGATAGCCACTCGCTTCCTAAATGATTAATCCTCTACAAATCTGTCAATCCCCTGAAAAACTCAGTTACAATCTGGATTCGTGTGACGAGAAACGTAAATTTTCTTATGATTCATTACACGCACACTGCTATATATCAATGATACCCATGGCATAAACTGTAAATGGCTAACATCTTCCCACTAGTTGACTCGATACGGGGTAGAGCCATTGTTTGATGCTCCGGGTCAATGACCCATAGATCACCATGGGGAGCATCCCAGATCTACCAGTTCCTATAAGTCTGGTATCCGGACATTATTTCCTCTTCTCAGTCGATATAGCGACATATCTACGTCGGGAGCACAATATTTGTGGTGCGCTGATAGGAACTCTACCACAAATTCCCCAGCAGAATGTCTTCCTTGGACTTCCCCTGGAGCTTATGCCAGAGGAGGCAAGAATACTAGTTGAGAAGGGCGTGGCTTATATCGTTGATGATGCCAAGGTTCATGAGGATGGCATGCAGAACTTAGCTAACCCGGACCGGCATCGTTACCTTCAGAGTCTCGAGCAAGAAGGTCGTCAAGCAGCACTAGCCCAGGCGGGCCGTAAGGAACAACGGAGAGAGGAAGCACTCAAGAAATTAGAAAAGAGAAACGCTGCTAAACCGGCAGAGCCATTGCAGATCCAGGGTTCAGCGCTTTCTCAAAGTTCCAATGAAGTAGAGTCTGAGGAACATCTCTTTGAAAGCTCTACTCAAACTCCTTCCTCAGCCCTTACACCTTCAAGACAATCCATTGCCGTGGAAGCTGTCTTTGGAATCACCCCCGCAACATCAGATGGTTTATTTCCAAAAGCTCCACCCCCTCAGCCTCCCACTCTTCCAGATGTACCACAGTCGTACCCTCTTTTTGCCCACTTACATTCGAAAGGATACTTCCTATCTCCCGGCCTCCGATTTGGATGCCAGTACCTTGCATATCCCGGGGACCCTTTACGTTTCCACTCCCACTTCCTAGCCGTCTCTGCGGAGTGGGATGAAGAATTCGACATCATGAACCTGGTCGCCGGTGGTAGATTGGGAACTGGCGTCAAGAAAGGTTTTCTTATCGGCGGTGCAGAGTCGCCTGATGACACTCATATCGAGACTTCTCCTGATGCTGTGAGGACTTTTAGCTTCGAATGGGCTGGAATGTGACTGCGGAAACTGTTAAATTCTTACAGTTTTTGTGGATATTTTACAATACCCCACTGAACATCGGCGGTATGCACCTCGATATTAGCCGGTTAGGACTTGGCGATAGCCATGGCATTTGCATTCCGAGAGGGGCATCGAGTCTGCCTGGAAACGACGTGTTCTGTGGAACTTCAAATGGAATACATCATCCGTAACCTAATTATCTACCAAGAACCAGCCATGGTTGAGAATCCACTCTTCACATCAAACCACGGTGCCAACAACAAGATACAACGCAAGATACCTCGAAGTAACAAGGTCGACAATAACTCCATGCTGTAGGATTGGGATTGCCTATCTCAATAAACAGGCCCAGTAGCACACCTTGTGTGGAATGCCCGCCAGCCGAACACACCAACAGCCTGCCTACCGTGAAGTAGTGGACAATGGATGCGACTGGATATATAAGAGGAGCTACTAGCGTTGAGAGCGAAGCTTTCACTATATATGTCATCTGAATTATGACGACGGTATTATGCCAGTTGTTGTATTAGCTTAATGGACACCGTTTCAAGGTGAACGCCACTAATGTAACAACGCATCACGTTGAGTATTGATATGATGAGGAATGTATAAATTTACTCCTTAAAACGTTTTGAAATTTTACTTTTCCTCAAGCACATGCAATAATATCCAGAACCAACATAAGATGCACAAATTGATAAAGATTTCACACAGCCATGCTCGGAAGCAGGTGTAGCGGTAGCAACCAATTTGATGGACTGGAGTTGCAATGAATAAGGCGGGGAACAATTGAAGGCCATGTTGGCGGAGCATTACGTGCCATAAGTAACATGGATTCCATTGAAGTCGATTCCACACTCAATCTCGCCGTAGTTGCTAACAGGAGGGAGACAAGGTAAAGGAAGTAAACAACAATCATGCACCGCGTGGTGATATAGACGGATAATAATATATGACACACGTCAAGGGGAATGCAAGTTCGCGAAGTTTCCCGTCCCAACAAACGATTTGACACCCATTCATCCCTTGTCAAAAGTTCTAGTATATCAGCCAGGCTCTAGGAGCAGCATACGGTCAGCAATCCTATCTCCCCGACTGCGCCCAGAGGACTCTCCAGGTTAAACAATAGTATATCCCCAATTGAAATGGAGAAGATATCCAAGACGGTTAAGAATGTATCCCTTGACGGAACCTCCGCCCTCTCGATCGCACACAGGACACTCATAGTAACCTGCATGACGCCCGAGAAAAAGCACTGGCACTTCTTTCATACCCAGCTAGATGGAGGACGCGATTCGAGCGATCCAGAATTACCCTCTTCTTCCAGGTAAATTTAGCTTGTCCTTTCCCCTCAACACCCCGTGTATGGTTGTAGATTTTCTGCCGTCGGTTGAAATCAACATGCCGAAAATAATAAGGTGCCAACGAACAAATTCACCGCCTTGCTTGAGGAGGATCATTGCCTCTTGTCGTTATTTTGCCAGATATGTTAAGAGGCCCACGTCCGGTGTTCGAGTGAAATACTGAACGAGGCCCACGCAGGTGTTTATTTCTGCTCGAGAAAGTCGTGGGACCCTCCGAGGTAGCTAGTTGGCTTGCAGGTTATGACATTGGGGGTACTCAAAGATAGTCTATATTCCTCCACTTGAACTTTTTGTTGGCTCTATCAACGGGCCTATTCTCGAACTGGCTGCCATGTAGCTCGAAAATAAGATTGCTCTTGTCCGTTTCCATATGTTCGCCGCCGCTGGTGGGAAGGGGCACTTGGAAACGAAATATCGTATGCTCTTTTGGAATTGCTAGAAAGTATGTTAGCCAGAAACCCCATGGTATATGTGGCAATGGAAATTATGCACAGATATTATAACTTACTCTTAGCTTCATCTTTCTCTGTTACTACAACGAATGTAAATTTGGAGTCCCGCACAACTATGCCCTTCACACCAACGCGACTAACACATCTGCTACGTACGACCTCAAGCTCCCCTCCATGGAAATCCGCGCTGGCCACTAAACTCCCATGGACTAATGGATTAATATAGGTTTGGGGGTTGTCCCGTTTCAAATCAAGCACGTCGTGCATGTATTCAATCCACATCTGGTGGAGGCGTTTGAAGATGTCGTATTTGATCTCCTTCTTCGGTAGGTCATATATGCCAGTAAGTCTCTTCTCCCGAGCAGAAAGGGGCTTCGGTTTTTGTTTACGCAGGAAATATTCCTTCTTTCGCAAGCGGTGGAGTCGTCGACGAGAGCGGTTATCGGCAGGTGTGGGGGATGTCGGGCCGAGGAAGAGAGGTTTCTGCTTTACTTTCTCCGTGAAAATGGTTGAAGCTGTATCAGGTGAATGTGCGCGGGATATCAGCTGCTGCGCAATATGGGCGCGCGTATTAGGGGCAGCATCTGAGGGCGCCATGATCGTCGTGAGGGCTATTCAGCAGCGTTCATGTCATGTCCTGGCGGTGGTGGATCGTCAATGTAGAAAATTGTGGTGACTAAGCAGGCCTCCACACAATCTCGGGACATCCGTCCAATCCACAGTGCTAACAGTGCATTCCAACGATGAGCATGGCTATCATCTGTAAATCAAATCTTATACCCGGCATATCTAGCTGGAGAGGGATATTGCTAGCATATTAATAGTTCATTACTGGCGTGTGCGCCAAGTTATAGCCATGAATGATTGAAAAGGCATATTAGAAAACTTGCGCTTGTAAAGCCGATCACCCTCCCTCCCCACATACCGGATATACATACATCCATGGATATCTTCTGGCGGAACTCGCTGCGAGTCTGCGATTTGAGAAACGGGGCCTCGGCATATCCGCTCTTCCCCGCCCTCGTGGACTGGGACCATCAGTGCAGCGGGGAGAACGACCGAGCCCCACGGCCATCTGATGGGTCCCCAAACCATTGCGCCAGATCTAAGTACTATTTATATCGTTGCTATTTCTCCGAGAAATGCCTCAGAGATAGCTAATTTCCCATCTTTTCCGGACGCAAATCTAGTGTTGACAACCCCGTGAACAAAAAAGAAGATGTCTTATGAAAAGAACTTCGCCGGAATCCCTCCGTTCGCAGACGATGTGCCCTGCGCCCCGCTTCTGCGTCTCTCGCTGGAAAAGCTCCTAAGCCAAGACGAGACCGAAGTGCTACGCTTCTACAGCGCATGCAAGGATTTGGGGTTCTTCTATTTGGACCTGCGCGGTACTGCGATCCTGGCAGATGCTGATCAACTCTTTGGGATCGGGGAGCAGTTATTCGAACTAGACATCGACGAGAAACGGCGCTATGATTTCAGCAAAGAGAATTCATACTTTGGATACAAGGAAACTGGCGCAGCGGTCGTGGACAGGGAAGGGAATCCTGATAGGAATGAATTTTATAATGTATCATTGCCCCTTTTACCAACCATAGTCACCCAAGCGTTTCAGCAATCAAGGTCCTTGAAGATTCCGGATATAATGTTGGCTATTGAGTTATATAGGCGCAGTCCATTGAAGAAGGGCTAACCAAAAACACAACCAGGTTTCCAAGGACGATATCTTCGGAATCTCAGAACCCCTGCCAGCGCCGGATTTCCTCAATAAATCACGACCGGTTTTCAAATCATTCATGACCAATGCCCACAGCATCGTAACCCTGATCCTCAACCTGCTAAATGAGAGTCTCCACCTGCCCCCATCCACCCTAGCAAACATGCACCGCCTCGACGCTGTCAGCGGTGATCAGGTACGAATGATCAAAGCGCCGCCGCAGCCGCCAGACGATAGGCGCACGGCGCTAGGTCAACACACAGACTTCGGCAGCGTAACCGTCCTCTTCAACCGCGTGGGTGGCCTACAAATTCTACCACCAGGCAAGGACGCAGAGTGGTGTTACGTGCGCCCCTTGCCAGGTCATGCAATCATAAATTTAGGCGATGCCATGGTGAAATTCACGAATGGCCTATTACGCTCTAATATACACAGAGTGGAGTCCCCCCCCGGCCCGCAGGCCGAGACCACCAGATATAGCCTTGTGTACTTTGCACGGCCAGAGGATGACGTCATTCTCAAGCGGCTGGAGGGGAGTGATTGTATCCCGCCACTTACACTTAGGGATGAGACGGGGGCCTTGGTGGAAGAGGAGGAGATTAAGAGCAAGGATTGGATTATTCGTCGTGCGTTAGGGAATCGGCCAGCGCTGCATAAGGAGATTGATTATGAAAACAATATGGGCACGGAAATGATCAGCCGGAGGGTATATACCTAATTTGCTTTAGGTTCGTTTGCTTATTTTATTTAGTAGTTATTAACTTATTCGTGGTAACTAATTAGGTAAAATAGCCAAATGTGTACTCTTATGACAACCGTCAGAGCTAATAATCTACTCCTGCAGCGGCTGCCGCTCTACTGACTCAAAGATCGTTCTGCCTTACCATTTATCAAGACTTCGAAAACAACCATTAATTAGGATCTAAGCCTATTTATTACCTTATTAATTTAATATTTTTGGCGTAACAGTGGGTTTCCAACAAGGAAAGTACCCCTCCCCATCTGATGTACTGATACCCCAACGCGACTCAAGCAAACAAAATTAATTTTGAAACTATAATTCAAGAATATACCAACTGGCAATCGAGAGACAAAGAAGGGGAATATTCCGAGGGCTGGGTTGTTTTTATGATGAAGACTCCTCTTCAATCTTGCCGACTTTGGAATATTAAAACTGCGAGAAACTTGATGTTGCAAGGGGCGGTACACAACATCAGGGGGCTAGACCCAAGTTCGCAACACCATGAAAAAGCAGGTAATATCATATATCTCATACGTGCATGGTAATATTTCCTTTTCTTTGTGTCCTGTACAACTCATACGTAGGAACTCAGAACGATCAGCAGAAATTAAGCTAGCCAGCCTGTATAACTAACTCATCAAATAGCCAGGAGTATCTACAACAGGGAAAATAAAATTAATAAACAAGTAGCAAGATCAAAGTATCAGAGTCATAACAAGTAAATAATTATGCGCATGCAAAGGGCCCCGCCCTCGCTCTCCCCGAACCCCTTCTCCACACTCCATCGCCAACCTAACACGCGATCAAGATGATGTAGCCACTCCCTCCCCAATGCAATGGGAAGTGAACATACAAGTAAAACTCTAAGTTGCAAAGAACAAGATGGTAAGATTATAATAATGGAGATTCAACTGCCCAACGACCCCCCACCACCTGCTTCGAGGATCTTCATTTACAGAAGACCCACAAAGCCCACCCCACCCGCGACGACCGCTGCGAATATGTTGAACACCATGGTCCCTTCGCTGAAAAGGGAAGATGCGGCATCAGGAGTTGAGGTAGGGCTAGTCGTAGCACCACCAGCGCCAGTGCTAGTGGCGGTGCCGGTTCCAGTGGCGGTGCCAGTGGCGGTGCCAGTGGGGCTACTGGAAGGTGTCCCTGAGGCGGAGCTTGATTGATTTGCGCCCCCGTTCTCCCTGAAGATACCGCCCCGGACTTCCTCCGGTCGGACGCTTCGAGCGTTCTTGGAAGCGGTTTGATAGGCTTCGAGGGTCTTTCCTCTAGCCCTATATTTTTTTCGGTTTGCATATTAATACACGGGGCCAAAGGCAAAGGAAGAAACAGGAGCTAAAAGAGGGGGGTAAAAAATAAACTCACGGAGGGTTAATGACAGCACTCATGCCACCCTGGCAATGGCCGCGGGTCGAGCAGTAGAGCCAAATGGGATCCGTGTTGTTGATTCTCACGGTGAAGGTAGCATCAGGCTGGCTGCCGTCGATGTTGATGAGGCCGGAGTAGAGACCGTCGTCTGATGGGGTGCAGGGCTCATCGAATGGCCCTGCCGCGACGTCGTGGTTTCTGGGGAAGAAGTGGAAAACGACATCGTCTCCTGCTTGAGCTCTGATGGTGTTAGGGCTAAAGGTAAGACCTTCATCGCCAACCTTGACGTCGATTGTCGCTGCAGAGGCGGCAGCGACGAATGCAATTGTGTTGATTAGAGACTTCATGATGGCTGCTTTTTTTTTCTCCCTTTTGGCGTTGCTTCTTGGTGTAATCCGTGATATTAAAATGTGCAGTAGATAAAGAGAACGAAGTATGGACAACGAACGGATGTAATAAACCAGGTGCAGATGCGAGATTATATGTGTTTTCTTTGAACAAGGCACAACAATAAAATTTGAAAAAAGAAATGAAAATGGAAATGGAAACAAGTTAAAGGGACGCAGGAAGTTGGACGTCGTTTTAAAGAGATTGCTCCAGCCCTCTTGAGCATATCCCAGCAGAGCGGCATCGCCTCACCTTCCTGATGCATGTCAGCCCTAGCAATTGAAGGATTTGTTAGTCCCTAGTTCAAGAAATCTTTTACTCATGGCGTCGCGAGATGTGCAGGCATGGCATTGTCATTTTTCACCAAAGATTGCAACTAAGCGCGTGGCTTTGGGTGTATATGCAACAGCCAAGGAGGGTGTACGTTCCACCCTGTCGGAGCTTGGTTTGATCAAAACTCTCACCCCCAGTCAACAAGGCCTGCCTGTCGCGAGAATTGTATGGTTTGTGCTCTTTCTCAATTAGGGTTGATCCTTGATCCGTTCTGGGAGATCATTTGCGTTTTGTGAGTGGTGTTGCAACGTTAGAGGTTTCAGCCCGTCAGCCCAAGAATTTCGCTTGGCGCGTAAACTCAGGGGATGTCGCATTTTGCGGGGAAACACGGCCTCCAAACTTAGAGAGTATAAGAAAACAACGAAAGCTGAATAATTGGTTGCTTTCCATTTTAATTCTGACTTCGTCATGTATCTCATTTCTCTAGGAAACAATCGAATAACTGAGAGACGCTACCATCGCTACCCACAGCGGTGACTCTTTCTTTTAAGGTTTCACCACCAAGCATCGCTTTGGTGATGCAGAAGCTGGGCGACTTCATCAAACTCGCCCATCCAGAGATGTGGCGGCATGGCTTCCACGAATGATAACCAACACAGCGAATAATGCGCCACGATGATTCCATGCTATTCATGAATGAAGAACCAGCGAAGGCCTTATTGGTAATGTCACTGATATCACGACGCATCTACCCAACGGGTAGCGCCTTCAGATATCGAAATATAGTCTTATTTGTGGGATTCATCTGGGAAGGTTAGGTGGACTCATGACATTGGGTTCTTCAGTGCTTAAATGTGGATTGTAAATTGTTTCCTGCGGTGATCCCCAGATCTTCGCATCAACATGAAGAAATTATTTGGTATAGCCATATGGTATGGTATAGACGTATGAAATTCCTGGAGGTGCTACTTAATGCTTGTTGGGTTTCATGCCATACACCCCGGATATCTGGGCGGCAGCTGATGTAACTGTAACTGACCACAGAAGTGCGTCAAGTTGGGGTTTTCGGGGTCGATATCAGGCTTTGAGATCCTTGAGGCTCATGTACCCCGGACCTGGGACGGGAACGCGTTCTTAACTGGAAGTCGGGGATGGTTCAATTTATTCACCAGATTGCAAAGCAGTCTGGCTCGCCATCGGCGGAATGGTTTGTTCACCTTTAATAAAGAAAAGAATCTAAATCTCCGTGTAGTAAGACGGACGCATGCAAAATGGCTTCAAAATTCAATCTGGAATATGCATCGAGATCTTGTACGTTGCTATAGTACGCTGCTATCTATGGTGATCCTCAGCAAATCGTGTCGGGGAAGCTGCCTGCCTGCAACTAGCCATTAGCTTCGGCCACTTATCGCTCCATTCAACCGAGTGACAGCCTGGAGTTTGAGGGTTCCAAGAACGGCTGCCGCTCTAATTCGAAATCCCGGCTAGCAATGGCTCTTTTGGCCTGCACAAAGAGTACCAGTCGGCAGTCCTCAGCCCAAGGTCAAGAACAGGTTCAAGCAATCCTGCATGATTAGCCACTAGGATTGACGGTAGAGGAACGGTGGTGAGTAGCGCGGCCCTGGAAGCGTTCGTGTTCATATTTGCATTGGCCGCTGAGATAGAATGATATGTTGAAACGGGAAATAATATCATCCCCCGCGAGCCTGGATTGTTCTTGGATAACTTGAGAACGTAGCGGCCGATAAATTAATGTTAAACATGACAAGATGGCCGAGTGGTTAAGGCGTACCGTTCAAGTCACATGAACACTTGGAAATTCCTTAATAAGGATTTCCTGATCCGGTATGGGGAAACCCGCGTGAGTTCGAGTCTCGCTCTTGTCAACATTCTTTTTTTTTCTTTTTTTTTTTTTTTCCGTCAAGCCCCTTTCAAGCAGCAGCTCCGTTTTCCGAGTGTGTAAACTATGCGAAGATAATTCCATTTCTTTTGAGTTGATTTGATTTGACGGTTCTACAACGGAAAACCACGCCTTTCTCCTGAAACCAGTGAGGATTGAGCGGATCAAATTGTCTGATAATAGTAATGCCATTCAAGGCTTCTGTGCTCCATATAGACATCGAAGAAGGGTTGTGATATTCCTTCCTCCGTGTCACGGCTCCTCAGATTCAACCTTAGGCGCTTCCTCAGCTCATGCCATCACTTATCCCTCCTTTCCCTAGAGCTACCGGGGAACGATGTCTCTCTCCATTCATGAATTTTTTTGGCTCGAAGTCCCTCGCACAATGTCATGGCGATGCCGAGGGTTTTCCTTTAACCCATCGTTAAGTCTTATCTTATTCATGATTTCTACACACTTCTTATTATCTCGGATCATCCAATACCCTCCTTAGCTAATTCAATCCGGTGCTGAACGAGCCTCACATTTCAGCACTAACGGATATGCGCAACTGTTAAGTTCGTTGTCAGTGTTATCATTTCTGCTTCTCCGTTACCAGACGGAGCAGAGTATGAGAAAGACCATCATAATTCTTAACTTGGTGATTAAGAAGGTTGCAGACTTCTCAATTGTTACATCGTTACACTTGGATTTGCTGGTGACGGCGAAAAAATTGGGTTCCAACTGGATACCAAAAAGGGGTAAAGAAAGCTCGACTATCAACATTCATGTGGCGCCAATGCTTCCAAAGTTGATCAATATTGGTAACAATGATGCGAATAGAGAGAGGACGTGGGTTACGTGTTCTTAGAGTGGAAACGGGGGAATTACGTCTTGCGATGAAGAAATAAATGCCCGCAAACCCTTCGGGGCTCACCTGATTACCAGTCCATTTGCGAGGAATAGGTGTCGGGCATCTTAGTTGCACGGAGGACGCCTGCCATTTGATATAACTCTCTTCCCAATGCAGATGAGAGATGAGAGGGTCGCCATTGAAGGAAGGTAAACATGATAGGGGTGTGGCTATCATAGAGCTGATCTGACCCTCGCTATCCAAACAAGCCGGCAAACACAACGTGTATTCCCCGATTAGGACTATCGGCATTGGAGGTATTTTCAAGGTGGAGGTCCCTGATCCCGATATGTGGTAGATCCCGAGTGCCATATATCCGTCTACCATGGTTTCGAGTGATTCTGGATCACAAGCCACGGAGGGAGCTTGAGCTTGAGGCATCGCATCTGGTATAAAAGTGTGCGATGTCATATGCCTTTTTTATGTCCTGATAAGCAAAGCATCAGAGGACATCACCAGTTCAGCAGAGCACGATCAGGTTTTCGGCTTTTTGATATCTCGGGCGCAGAAAACGGAGAGCGATGGAGGTCTCAAGTTGTCCTGGATCGGGGATTGCAAAGGATGTAAAACGGTTGTATTTCCCTCTCGTCCCTCGTCATTAGCCCAACACATCATTCCGAATTCACAATTCTAGAATTGCTGTTGCACGATAAACAGCGAACTCTGCAGCGGGCAAGGCATTTGGACCTATTCGTATGTACGGAGCCAGGCTAACGACGATGAGGGCAGCCACGAGATGAAAATGAACATGAATATATTTCTTATTATTTTTATTTTCCCCACAGGCAATGCATTGTCGGTGATTGACGATGACTATGCTATTAATCTTATTCCTTCCATTGTTCTTTTCTTCTCAAGTCCAGCATTCTCAGTTACCATACCATACATGATCGAAACAGAACGCGGTACACGTAATAACCATACGATACACGTGTTCTGCGGTTTCGATCAAATACCGCGCCAGGTATGAAAAAACCCAATGACACCACTCCGGCCCGCAGAGTCAGCACAGACCCCAAGAACCAAGCTTATCCAGACCCTAATAAGATTCGTAGCGATACAAGTCGTAACAAGCGTGGTACAAGCGTGACCCGGCTTCGTTCCCCCGGACGAGCCGTCGCTGAGGTCTCCCAGCAGCCAGGACGAACTGGTGTGAACCAGCCAGCCGCATGCTGAAAGATTACGAGTGTAAAATACGCGTGGCTAGTCTGGAATAGGAAGGTCTCTCTGTGAAGGTGATGTTTCTAGTGATAACCATACTGCGCCTATCTGACCATATCCATGGATTCCTATATGTTTCGATCGAGTTCTCTGTTTTCGAGCACTTTAGCACTTCCTCTCAGCGCTTGAGGTGGAGGTACAAGTACAAATACCCCATCCCTTCCGCTCTTCTGCTAGATTGCTGCGCTTCGACTTCATCCCGACTCATGCTCTAGCCTGGCCAAGCGGGGGATGCAGCCACTCTAACCGAATCAAGTGCAGCACAAGAGCATGCAGAAGACTTTTTCCACAATAAAGCCACACTCTCTCTTCTCTTCTTCCTGCAGTCAGAACTCCCGATACCCCGCCAACTACAACGTTGCATCGGAGTTGCCTTCTGCAACTTGCCGAGTCTGAATAGCAAACTTGCATAAATATGCATGCTGAGAGAGACGGACGGCTCGAAAAAAAGCATGCTTCTTTTCGAATTCGCCTGCCCTGTCCCGCTCCACTCCGGAGAGGGTAACTCCAGGCCGCGGATTGATCCTATTAGTTTCCCTACTGCTGGGAATCTTGCGTCCACTGAGGAGATGCAGAGCTGCTGCAGCCTTCTGCAAATGCAGCACCCAATGCGTTGTTCAACGGCAGAGATGGGGGCTAGCCAAGAACCAGCCAATCATGCCAATGTGTAGAGCTTTTTAGGGTATCTGATTCCTCGCGTTCCTTGTGGGTTGAGATGATCGTACGGAGAAACGAGTTCTCAATGACGACGAAAAAGGAAGTTTTACGATATCACTTGTGCGTGCGGGAATAGGTTTTCTCATGCGCTGTCGTGCTATGCTGGCTGGTGACTAAAATTCCGGGTGTCTTTTCCCTTTTTTTCATTGGTTTCCGATTCATGCGCGGGAGTGACACCACCTTCCTGTCTCATAATCTCTTTTATTTATTTCAAAACTTGGAAGATTTATGCAAGGAATGAACCCCCGCTGTGTGATTGCCACCCTAAAACTGCCCCGCCCAGAGCCCAGGATGCTGTCTTGATTCTCTCTCAGACGGCAGGGAAAGACACGGTCGACTATTCTTAATCCGAACATGTGTGGCAAGTCTTCTCTATATCCTTGCCAGTTTTGTGTCTGAGAGGCTTCTATGCACATAAGCAGGTCGGTCGTATCAAGAAGGCGAAAAAAAAAGAAGAAAAAAACCCCATTCTTTCATCCCGGCTTTTGTGAGACCCTGGCTCCCAGGCCCCTGGCAATTGTCGCGAGATTTCCTGCTGATGTTCTCCAGACCCTGTGCTTGACGCAGAGTATTCCAGGGGGGGAAGGGGCGGACGGGGGCGGGGGTTCCTCCAGCTAACACTATTCAAGAATGCATGTGCGTTCCGCTAGATAAAAGAGCTTCATGAATGATAAGATTTGTTCTATGCCACCTCGGCTGGAAGGCAACTCTTAATTTACGCCATCTCCATTTTACTATCAGAAACTCCCCTCCCAGTTGAAACGCAGAGTCATATCTTCCATTCCGCCGAAATTCCGAAGCTTGCGCTGGTGTGGCAAGATGCAAGAATGCTCTGAATGGTCTTGCGACAAGGTGCCACACATTGACAGTACATACATACATGCAGACATATGCAGGCGGACGCTTCATTCAGATATTTTATTCTTCACCGCCAAGATCCCCGAGAATCCGGGCTCTCGATTGAAGTACATACATACATTACATACTTCTGCATATGTACTGCACCATATCAAAATCCCCCATCAGTCCCCAATCCAACATGTGTACTGTGTAGGTCTGCAACTTCTAACTGGCCACTGAGTGGCAAGGCAACCGATATCGCGCAGAGTAACTACAGAGTATGTTCACTTTTATAAATTGAATAGCAAGTAGAACGACGAACCGTGCGATATGCTGTCTATGTTCGCAAAAAATTCTACGCTTGCGTTTGAGTCAATAGTTACCCAACGGTCATTCAAGGGCTTTTCAATATTGAAATAAAGCTGTCTGGGAAATCCAACAAGATATGGAATCTGGAGTCATGTGTAAATAATTCCCAAACCCCTCCCCCGCCTCCTATTATCCGATTTTTTTTTTATTTATTTTTAATCGGTCCGCCGCCCCCATATCCCTCCCCACCCTGCGCTGGAACATAGCGCACGGGTACTATGGTGGTGCCCTCGGCGGCCCGCTTGGTGGGGTGGATCGGGAGAGACAGTGCTAAGGGGGGGGAGCGGGATTAGGGCTTACAGGAGTCTTTACTGCGTAAAGCACATGTCCCGAATAATGAAACAATAATAGCAGGAATATATTTTGAATCCTGTGCTCGACTACGGAACTTGCTAGGGAGAAAGAAGGGAGAGAGAACAAGAACAAAAGAGGGGATAGAATAACCGCGCATGAAGCGCATGAAAAGAAATATAATGAAAGAGGGCGGAGCAGTCAGTTGCTATAGTTATAAGTGTTAGGCGGGCCAATCGTAGTGACAGAATAAGCGATATTTTAAATGTGTGATTCCATACCCACGCAACTCAGCTAGGTACTAGGCTCTGGGCCTCCTCGGGCGGATTATTATTATTATTATTATATTATTATTTCTGTTTAAAAATAAGAGATTAGAAATAAACGCGCTTTTGATATGATTCTTGGCAACAGTCTTGTTGGTTGTTGTGGAGAATTGATTGATCTATTCTATTTCCGTGAAAAAGGCGCGACAAGCTATCAAATTCCTAGTCAACAGAGTCACAGCTCGCCCGAAAAGGGGGATCAATAGAGAACCGAGGACGCCAAAGTCAATAGCCATTGCGTGCGCAACTTTTTAAAAAAAAAAATTTTAAAAAAATGTTCTTGCTTTGGAGAGTGACACAATGACACTCGTGGTACATACGTTCATCAGTACCTCAATGTCGGTTCGTGTGATCATTTGCCATATTATTATTGGCATACTTGTGCAGCATCGTTAAACGAAGCCTGTCAGGAAACCTCCGGCGCTGAATCCGCTGGCACAGAATTGCCCTGTCCCCATTTAATATATATTGTCCTTGAAGGCGGGACGGGGAATGATGACAAGCTGATGACAAGATGCACACCGCACCTAGCGATACCGAAGTCCAGAGAAATCCATCCTCGACAATCAATCGCCGTATGGGCCAAGGGTTGTCATTAATACATCGTCCTAGCTAATGCGTTCAGCCTCCCCTCTCCTACGGCTGATTTCGAGGCTTGGTTTGATAGTCCTATTCCTAGAGCTCTAATAGCCATAACCGAACCGTACACGAGTCGGGAAATGAAAATAGGGGACATGATGAGGAGTTGGTGGTGATAATGTCCGATGTTTCCTCCAAAAGAGTAGTTATATAATATGTATTTGTTTTGATAACCGCCTTGCATCTCCAATTGGTGAAAACCCTCAGGTACGGTACAGTGATGTCTCTCTTTTCGTCTTAAGAGAGAAAGGGTTTCCGCGTCTGTTTCCGAATAGTTGTGGATACTTTTTACCCAGGTATGCATGCATTTCTCTACTTGAGACGTGGACTTGAGACGTGGACATGAACACGGGCCATGGGCATTGAATGCTGAAGGACGTGAAACAGAATCCATCATGAACAGCTAACTAATTGTAACCGCCCCGAAATGCCACTAGGAGACTAATACAAGATGTTGATGTTGAGGTTTGGACGAGGATCATTACAGTATTTATTGAAGGATAAAATGGATCAAGCAAACTTCTAGAATTTGTTATATACCAAGAAGAAGAAGAACGAAGTAGAGAAAGAATATCAAAAAAGCATGCCCTCCACTTCTTCCCGACGTTCCAGAAGACGACAGAAGACGAAGGAAAAAAGGAAAAAGAAAAAGAAAAAGCCACCCGCTTCAAACCACGCGGTTGTCAGCGTTTCACACTGACAGAAACCAGAAAACAAAAGGAAATATATATAACTAACCATTCATTATTGTTGGAGACTCGAGTTTCTGATGCTGGCCTCCGCTGATACGATACGATACAGAACAGAAGAAGCTTGAAGATCGCACCCGCCGAACCCTGTCAACTGTCAGTCTGCCAATCCTCTCTCTCCCCTCGACTTTGTCGGTTTTGATAAACGCTGATGAGCGTTCCAGCATTCATGTAGAGACGCCGAATCAGACAAAGAGAACCGCCAACCAGGATTCGTTATTGCACTTGATCCCGGTCTCGGGGAATCGGGTGGGTGCATAAGTAAAGTGTTCTTAATGATTAGTTACTATTATTGCAAGCTGCTACATAATAATAATAATAGCGCCGACACTTCTAAATACAGGGTTTGGTAATTTACCTTCTCATAACTAATAACTAATCATCAGCATCATTCTATGATTTGTTACTAATACGCTCTGATATAACCCTTTTCTATGATGAGAAGAATATTTATATTGTTTCCCTACTCTATGCTCAACTATTTTCATCGAAATAATAATAATAATAATAATTCTCACTCCACATCTAATCCGTATGTGTAATCTTGATAACTATAGTTGAGTTACAGGAGCTACACAAGCTCTAGCTATGTATCTCCAATGGGCTCCTCATAATTAATTGCAATGTCAACCAGTCTCACCAAATTTCTCGGCCTGCGTCAAAAGAAAACAAGGAGAGCTCGAATAATAATAGCTAACTAACGTTTAACATTTAACGTATAAAAAAATAAAATAAAAAAATTCTATTATTATTAGTTAGCAATGATTCTTTGCTCTTTGCTTCCCAGCTAAACTAACAAAAACCGAACATAGCGAATGGACAAGAAGAAAATAAGCTATATCCCAACCAATCAAAAGAATATACGGATAGAAAAGCTTGAAGAGCAATCAATGCCTTGAGGCCTCTAACTGCTAAGTTAATAGATTTCTCCGGCTTACTTACATTGTGGAGCTGTGGGTGGATGGGATCTCTGGTAGAAGAAGATTGATAGATTAACTCCGTTTCTTGTGCTCTTCTTCTTCTTTTTTTTTTTTTTTTTTTCTTTTAGCCCAGTTGAAAATTCCCTGATGACTCCGTTTTTGTTTCTTTTGTTTCTTTTCTTTTTTTTCGCCTCCGTCGTCAGTTAGAACATGTTTAGAACATGTTCGAGATGCTTACGCTGTACCGAAGGAGCTTACGGCTGAGAGTATCAATGAGGAACCCCCGGCTAGAGTACACCTACCGAGATAGTTAACTCCTGTATATAAAAATGGAGCGGTATTCACTCCCCCAATCCCATGAGCGTTGGCTCCTTATAGACTACCAGGTGCCGGTTTCTGCCTTCATGGATCTACGTATTGAGTTGGTCTTGAAATTATACTGAGAAAGATTTAATAAGAGTGTCTATGGTATGTCTAGGTGTATATGGGTTTGCGTTTCCCTCAACTAGCAAAACTATCCATCTATACGTACGCTGCCCGCTCCCCAGCCTCTGACTAGTAAGGAGGGTTCAGTGGGAAAGGAGTCACAGGAATATATCAAATTGAGACACAGTATTCGGTTAAGACAGTATCACATATATCAACTGGCGAGAGAGCTGGCGATAGATAACAAGTTCATTCGTTTACTAAATTTGGGTAGTGGGTATTTCCAAGAATGAGTCAAATATGTGTAAAAAAGGAACAAGTATCCTCAAATTTGAGTTGATGGTGCGTTCGGGAGAGGATATAGGAAGATAAGAGTGTGAAACGTAGAAAAAGAATAGCGAGAGTTGTCCAACACACGTTGAGAATCCATATGCAAGACAAGTTGAGGATGAAGGCGCGTGGAAACGTGAGACGCTGTGAAATAGTAGGCCGGGGGAGGAGTGTATATATATCGACAAAGAAATTCACCAATAGATCAATTCTCTCAAGGTAACATATAGAGATACTTGGTTATCTAATAATGTTGGGTATAGAAGGGAAAAGGGTAAAGGGGGTAGTAGCGGGAGAGCTGCAGAACGCTTTCGGGAAAAGAGATATGGATGAATGAATAAATGAATGAATTGAGAGGGACAAGGAAGAAGCTGCTGAATTGGCTGATTGCTTTATTACGGGGCAAAGTGAATTTTGATTGTTCGCTCAAGTACCGTTAGGGTCATCAAGGGGTCGTGGGGGTGGACAAAAATGCGGGAGGAAAAGCTGGACAAGCAAGATTGCAGATAGAGATATAGATATAGATGGGGAGTGCCGAGATGAGAAATTAAGAGCATAGATCGCGGAGAAGAGAAAAGATTGAGTCAAAATCGCATAAGGAAATAGTTACTCAAAATGAACAAGGAGAAAAAGTGGGCAACAGCATGGACGGACGGTGATTCAGAAATAAGAAAACACGGTGAAAATGCCCAGGGCTACTACCTATACGAGCTGCTAAGTTGACGCAGAAATCGATACCTTAGCAAGCCGCTCTTCCACTCGTCGGAGAAGTTCCGGATCTGGTTCGGGTTTGATCTTCTTTGGTCTGAATGGCGACGAATGCTCAGTTAGATATATATATATAACATGGATATATGGATGGATGGATTGGATAGATTGGATGGCAGCAAACTTACGGGTCTCTAATACAATCCGAGCACCGCTCATGCTGACAGCTTGGACAAACCCTGTCTCCCGCCTGGAACAACTTCGAACAATTGTGACATGTCCATCTTACCCGGCGTCTCGGTTTCCGCCAGACGCGTTCTTGAGGCTCGAAGGGCGGTTCGACATCTCCAGGGTAACCATCGGGATACTTATTCAGTTTCGGTCTAAAGCATCATATCATACCAGTTAGTTTTCAAAATCACGAACTCCTCTCCTTGTCAAAACAAAATATGTTGATTAAAGAATACGTACGGATCTCGAGGACACTTCTTGCAGCGAATGTGCTCGCACTCTGAACACACAGTGGCATCTCCAATGAACAGCGTCTGGCAGCGATGACAGGTGCGGCGGACTCGCTGTCTGATCGGCTTGCGGACGAGATCTTGGCCTCCCGTGCGTGAGGGAATCGTAAGAACAGCTTTCTTAGGGACATCTGCTGCCTTGGCCTTGTCTTTCTCAAGGCATCCGTCCTTGGGCTTCGCAGGCGGGTAGCGGAAGCATTTCTTGCATCGCAAGTGCTGGCAGCCCGCGCACACCTTGTCCGCACCGAAGGTGGTGAGGCAGCGATGGCAGTTGCGGCGAACTCTCATACGGACCGGCTTCTCAACTCGCTGCACGCTCCGGTCCGCAGGTTTCGACATCCATTCGCTCGGCTCCAAAGTCAACCCGTACTTGGCGAACAAAGCACGCGCTTTCTCTTGCTGGAGGGTGCTCCATTGATGAACCTGTACAGGCTCTGCAGAGGTCTTCTTCACGGTAGTTGCGGCTGGCTTGCTACTAAATTTATGGATAAACATCGAGTAAGTTCTTGTGCTGACCACGGCAAAGAACACCGTCTCTCCATCGGAAAATTGGGCATAGAGGGTTGTGCTTACGAAGTAACTGCTGCTTTCTCTCCAGCTTTGCTGGATTCGCCGATAATGTCCGTCATGCTCGAAACGGATGCTCTATTTCGACCCTTGAGCACGGTCTTCACCCGCTTCATGTACTTTCCAAGTCCGTCGTCTTTCTCCGCGCCGTTCTTCGCGGGAGTCGTTGGCTCAGTCATAGTATCGGTAACGGGAGCGACTTAGATGGGCATTCAGGCAAATTTAAAATGTTGATGAGGACGGATGAACAATTAAATATACGGCTTTCCAAGACTTAAGGAAACCAGGATGTCGGAATTTCGAGTACCACTGCAACCCACTCAATCCAGAATACAGGCCCAGGCGGAGACCAGTCGATATCGAAATTCAAATCGGTGTAATTGGTTGGGAGCTTCTCGTATTATATGTCGGAGTGGAAGGTGCAGAGTTGGATGTGAATATGCTCATGCGTGGCGTGGAGTTGTTGGTAGGACGATATGTAGACGCTCGATCGATGGGATTGATCAGTAGGTCAGACGGATATTCGTTGTGTTGTGTGGAGCCAGAGTCTTGATCCCGGATATCCTTTCGCGCTGATTCGAGTGGATATTTTGACAATTAGGCGACTTTGGAAGTCAGCAACCTGGTAGTACTGGTGTTGAATTGATGGAAGCTGAACAGCAAACGAGAACCTGATGCGGTCCCAACAGAGGCGACGGGAGAGAGGGCGCAATTCCAGCACCCAAGATGGTTTGGACGTCGAGTGTGTCGGCGAAGGAGGGATGGGAGAGGGTGGTGGTGAGGTTGAGGAACGGAAGCAAAAGAGAAGAAGCAAGAAGAACGGGAAAACAGCGAGAAGAAGAGGAAAACGAGAAAGAGGAGAAAAGAGGAGAGCGCCCAATACAGCCGCCCTGTTTAGCGGTATACATGCAGTACGGCTGTGTCACCACGACGGCACCGCTTGACGGGCGGGGGAGATGATGCTCGCCTCGAGGAAATTCCAGCGCAGGCTCCACCTTCGAGCAGGGCTTCCCGGCCGGGGCTGCGGGTCGGGTATCTGTATACCGTACCAAGGTATCTGCGGGTATTGATGGCGGCGCCGTCAACATTAAATTACCTCCCAGCCCGCTCGGTAGTGGCCAGTGCTCGTTCGCTGGACCACTGGGGTTACAGAATGGCAGAGCTTCCCGCGTGAAAAAACACTCCAGAAACAGGATGCCAAGTGGTATCGGCGCATCGTCGAACTCACCAGTCGAAGCCTATGCTGGCAAACCACAAGCTCCCGCTCACCAGCCAGTCAGAGACGTGCTCTCCGTTGCACCGGCTGGTTGTCCTTCTTGCGAAAAGCCACTTCCGGAACGCCTTGACTGGTCTCTGCTATGCGCGCCGGCGCAAGGATAGCCCGTATTTAAATGTACCTTTTTGAAATGACGGCTAATTCTCGTTTTCCCGGCATTTTCGTCACCCCTGGCTTTGGTAGGAGGTTGCCCGGTACCTGACTGACTGACTCTCCTCTCAGTAAAGGCGCTCCCAGTGCTGAACGACGCTGGCTGGCTGGGTTTGCTTGGTCTGTCAGCTTGACAATCTCTCCGAGCTACTCCGTGGCTCAAGGTAGGGCAGCTCTTGACAGCTTGCTCTAGGATACTGAAACCGCATAAATAAATATATATACTTCACAAAGCTGCCCAAGTTGCTCTGTGCTGCTTCTCATCATGGAGGCTCCATCCAGCAGGCCACATTTCACATCTCCTCCCCGATGGGTATCCAAAAAGGCTCCATTTAGAGCGAGCGCTTTCAAGCCACAAAACGTTGTCCGGTGTCTGCAGACAGACCGCTCCGAACTCACCTGCACCAGCTGGCGGCTGGCGGTATCGTCTGGTTCGATTGTTCGATAAATTACGTATTGATACACGGATATCAATACGTTACAGGCTTGGCCTCGCCATTCGTGTATTGGCCATTACCGTCCAGAAATGCAGATGTAATAATGTACGGAGTACTCCGTACAGCAGTCAGTACAGTAGTTACTCACCACTTTCCCTAGGCCATGCCATGCCGCAGCCATAAATAATTTCTCCCCGTCAAGTCCAGGACCAAAATGCTCACACTCCTCGTTGCGACATTACAGACTCCAGTGGACGTGGATATTGTCGGTCCGCATCGTTCAATGTTACCTCCCTTCTAAAAATACGGAGAAATATTCATCTGCAGCAAGCTAATTATTTATTAACCTTGGAGCTTTGTCTGCACACCACCAGCAGCGACACCATTCGCGATGCACGTTGCCCACACGTGAGAAGTGGAAGAGGCTTTTTGGTGGTAGGTAGTCACCATCCAGAAGCTTGCTTCGGGGATCTCATAAGAGAGAGCTTCTTCTGAGCAAAGTGACAGCGGCGACGGATGTGAGAAGCAAATGTCATTATTTGAATCGGTACCTCTCACCTGTCACAGAGAAGATGCCGAACGCATTTTTACCTGTATGCGTGCTGCACGACTAGGAGGGTTTCAATTAACTATCACAAAATCACAAAATCTCTTTGTCAAGACTTTTGTATTCTGGAAAACTTGCCGCTGCTCAGTATCAAACTGAAAGTGAGATTGAAAGTGAGAGTGGAGACCAGTGTAACTCGCTACGACAGGCTCCATGCCACAACTCTGGCTCTGGGATTTGGGTCCAACAGCTCCGCAGCAGACTCCAATCCCACAACTCCCACGGACACAACTGCTCCAGGAACCAATCATACGAGGGGAACCCTTCGGGTTCTTGATTCCCCTCCCCGCCAGACCCAAAAGGCCAAACACTAGTAGCGAATTTACCAGAAGCTCATGTTTTTGGTTTTCAGCCGGGTGGGTGGAAGGATCCGAGCCAAACGTGATTATTATTATTAGAAAACTGATGCTCGTCATAGTTAGAATTATCTTGCAAAACCATGTCATGTATGTCACAGAGCATGGCAGGTTCTGGCATCTCTCTGAGAGTATGAATTTTGAAAGATGAATGAAAAATGAAGATTTGAGCAAGGCATTGAGTGATTGAATGGTTCAGAAAAATAATTTCATCTCTAACCAGGTTCAATTCAAACTCAATGTTAACTATTTCAAGAAAAGGAAAACCCAGATTATTTACAACTCTGTCATCATGCTCAGACTTTAATCTCTCTTTCATCAAGTCTCATTTCAATTCGATGAGATGTTGAATCTAAGTGCTTCAGACCATGATTGATGATCTGACAACCATTGAGGAGTAGAAATTAATCTAAGTGCTACCATCACCCTCTATGAGAAGGATGCACTCCCTGGACCTTGAAGACACATTCAAAGATAGCAAGGTTGCTGAACTCTAAGATATTGATTTTAACCATTCTTGATGATCATCAGAAATGTGTTTCTGTCCTCTTCCCCCTCAACAACATCTGCAGTCTCCAGGGCCATTCTCAACAACTGGAATAGAGGCTATAACATCTAGCCTATCCTCTACTTCTTCTGAGAGTGAATGCTTTCCCTCCGTTGATTAGATCTTCTAGTTCAATCGCTAACTCTAGAACAGACTTTGGACCAGCAACTTTCTCATTGGATGGCGTACAATGCTTATCCAGGCATTGCAAGTGGGCATGAGGTTATCAATTCGTAGATTGCTTACGCTTGAGATTAACACTCATTATCAGCCAGATATTCGCACGAATTTTACGGATTCCTAGTCCAGCATCATCGTCATCTGCGATCGACATCACAATACTCAACGGCATCGGTAGCAATTTACACACATTTTTTGACACGGATCTGATTGCATGGGGAACCCTCCAAACTATGTTGGATATGGCCCTCCGACCTTTACAGCCACCGCAAATGGGATAGTCCAGCGGCGTCAGATTGCATTTGGTAAACAATTGTTAACTCCACATGGTGATGCAGCCTCGGACTAGATTCGTGAATATGGAGTTGCAATACCAGAAACACTTGGCACTGGTAAACTTTCAGGTGATAGGATCAGGCAAGTCTTGCAACTGCGCCGGTAAATCAGCATCTCTATTTGGCTGCGAAAAAGAATGGGGTTGTCGAACAGTTTCCTCTTGTCTAGTCAATTGGTAAAGAAAACATGGTGGTCCATTAATTCGAGTGTCATTCTTCCATGCTGAATTATTTGCTCTATATACATGCGAGAATACGTACATGTGAATTGCCAGCACATACATCCAAAACACCTCCTGCATAGAGAGAAGGGCCATGAAATTTCATGTTTACTAACCTTTACGTGCTATATACTCTATATACGGCGAGTGGAATCCCGCCTACGAGCCTCGCACGGGAATTTCAACTCCTAATCCGACAAGACTAAACCATACTTGCCATGGCCAAAGGGACTTATTGCGACGGCTCGGAACCCCCCCTCCCCCTTTTTTTTTTCTGGATCGATTTACCACTGATTATGGGATAGCAGATGTCCCTGACGGATGAATCTATCCCGAAAAAATATGATGGACCATCATATCAACCTGCTAAGTTTTGTTTTTGGTTTTATGGATAGGGTACAAGATATAAACCGGCCACTCTCAGATGAAAATAAAATTTCTAAAATCATTGCCATGGAGGAAGGCACATACATATAATACGTATTCATTTTATTTCTATTCGTTTTATTTCTATTCATTTTATTTCTATTGATGCAAATTCTATGTTCGTATTCCGTTTTTAAACTCGGCAGGGATAAAAAAAAAGAATGAAAAATGAAAAGAAAAGAAAAGAAAAGAAAATTTGATATATATAGATAGTACAGGTTAAAGTGGAATAGCAAACCAAGCGCCGATCCGATGCGTAACAAGAATGCAAAGATGGCAATATATACTCTATACTCAGGTGGGGAGGGGGGGGGTTGGCTGATACAAATACATTCTATTTCTTCAGATGTAAAGAGAGAATGCACGCAGCCACGGAAAAGAAAGCAAATAGCCACAAATTAGCTGCTTGACGAGAATGTTGACTGCCGTGACCCTACTCTCGAGGGCGGGATATCGACACTCATAGCATCAAACACCCACACGCTTGAGTTTTTCTTCTTTTGTCGCATCAGATTAAGCGGGGTGAGCCACTCCTCTCGCAAGCTGGCAAGACGGCTGCTGTCTCTGTGACGGGCCCAGTTTTCGCAAGCGGCCTTGTATGCGTTCTCGACGGTTTCGCGACGGAGGGATTCGTAGATGCTGAAGGTTTTGGATAGGGGCTCATGGATGTATTCAGATAGGACGCGGGCGAAGAGGATGGCGTCGTCCAGGGCGTAGGCGGCTGACTCATCCTTGGGGGGCATCTGGGAATAAAAAGAATATTTGCCCGCGTTAGTTTGATCCTATTCCTAATGGATATCTGACCAATATTTTGCAGGTGAATGAGGAAGGGGGAACGGTAGATATATGAAATACGCACAGCATGAGCAGCATCGCCTAATAACATGATCCTCTCCGTATGCCATTTCCCACCAGGACGTATCTGATACACTGGATATAGAAACCAATCCCAGCATTTTTCCGCAATCTCGCGAACGCACGGAAGGGCGGACTTTCCAAAGCGACTCTGAATGTCATCTCTTAATATCATGATGGCGGTATTCTTTGTTTTCCACGAATCTGCAGCCTGATACTTGCATATTTCATAAGTCAAACGGTCCTCCTCGACTTCCGCCAACGCTGCCACGAACATATCCTCCTTTTCATTATCACAATATGTCGTCATCAACGCTCCGTGTCTTGATCTGTTCAACGCCGTAACCTTAAAGTGTTTGGGCGACCTTATCATTTCCGACTTTATCGTAGTCTGAATAAACGAAATCCCCGTATACTCCGAAACCCTATCGGGATCAACAATGTTTGTCCTCGTTGCTGAATGCACGCCATCACATCCCAAAGCCAAGTCGCCTTTCGCAAAAGAGCCATCCTCGAAATAAATTGTAACGCGTTTGTCCGTCTCGATGCCGCCTACAACTTTTTTCCCGAACACCATTTCCACATTACTCCGTTTCTCCACAGCAGATAACATAGCCAGATGAAGAGATATGCGCATTAAGCGGCGCCCCTTGTACCCACCATAACCCTTGCCGTCTTTGCCTGCAAAGTCAACCGCACCCAGTTTTTTACCACTGTGAGAGGAGAATACCTCTATCTCGTCCACCTCTATGCCTCCCTTAGGACCCAAATCTCGCAGCTCATCGAGCACGCCTAGCTGATCGAGATGCCTATGGGCGACGGGGGTGAGGTTGATGGCGCCACCAGAAGTCGAAGGGACATCTCGGAGCTCGTAGATGACGATTTTGAGATTAGGGAGCACCGGGGTGAGGGCTTTAGAGAGTGCGAGGGCGGAGGCAACGCCTGCAATGCCACCACCGAGGATTAGGATGGTATATGGGACAGTAGCCATGTTATAGAGATCAATGAAGAAAATTAGCAACACATTAAGAGTTAGGCCCGCTGTATAAAGAAAACAACAAGGCGAAAAAGTGTGGAGCGAGATATGAGAAACTGGAAACTGGAAAATGGATATAGATAAAAATGAATATATATATATATATATGTGTGTATAAAATATATATATGTGTGTATATATAGTTATATATATATATATATATATTTCAAACCGGGAAAAATCCGAAAACAAGGAAACCGATCAAAAGTTAACAAAAAATCATGGATTGGGTTTGCTGGAGACATCTTGAAATTTTGGTTGAGCAAAAAAGTCAGTCCACATCAACCCAGTCTACAGCAATCGGGCCAGTCATATCTTTCATGGCCCGCTTCAGGCCCCATAACTAATAACATCCTTATCAACCAACTGCCGGCAAGAAGGCCGAAAAAGGAAAAAGTCATGATGAAAATCGGGCGGAAAACTTTCAAGCTTGCCAAGCCATCGGGTTTAGGGAGAATTTCCCGGGACTCTGGGCAGACGTCATGCCGAGATTGGTCAAGCCATCAAATGTTTTTCGGCCATGGAACCCGAGAACTTTCTATATTTTTAATACTCAATAATGCTCAATCATGATATTATGAAGTAATGTATCCTAGATCACTAGAAAAGAGAAAGGTCAATAATGTGAAACATAAAATCCAGTCTTGTTTAGCTGCGGCTAAATATTATCCCCTGTTCGCTCGTCGGTGAAGCTTCATTCGTCGAAAATGGTCTGCAGCTTGTTCAACTATTGAACTGCTCCGGGGAATTGGCAATTATTCAGGTACAGCGGGTTGTTTCCGAGGTAGGCATAACGATCGAGGGGTTTCTGCTTAGAAGATGTTAACATATTATCAAACAATAATAAGATATTTTAGAATCTCAATAGTAGCTTCGGCAGCGCACTTTTTCAAAGTGAGGCCGATTCGGTAGTATCTGGGGACCGTACGGCGTAGATCCATATCGGGAGAAGGCCGACTAGTCAAGCAGCCAAACCGTTGCTAGAGATGATGAATTTGCGTTTTGAATAACTATGTGAGGCATATTATTGCTCAAATAATGACAGTACCAGCTTCTTTAAACATTTCTTCGTGATCAATTCGGTGAATCAGACAGCCCAGGCTTTGAAGCTCAGGTGGATAGAATTCCATACTAACATTTTTAACGCCATAGCCGGCAAGCGCCTTCAGTCCCAGCTTACGTACCATGTTGACTATCCAGACAGCTGCGCATTTCTTGGAAGGAGATTGGACAGAACTCTGTTGTTTGTTACTTTTATTTTATTTTTTATTTGTTTACTTTTTATTTTTTAATTTTTTAATTTTTTAATTTTTTAATTTTTTAATTTTTTAATTTTCCTGCTTTGGTGCCAGGTTGTATCCTTGGTTGTTGGTAAGAGGGGGACTGTACCGTACCAAGCCCACGGAACGGAAAACATTATCAGCATAATAAGCTCTAGGTTAAGCAAATGGGGCTAGATAGATACCTCTATTAGTCTGTAAGATGGGGGTACTAGGGCCAAAAGTGGCCATATTTGACGCTGTTTTTGTTGGGGGTCCCGGGGGTTGATCGGCCCTTCTACCAGCAGCGCTGGTGGTGACTGAGCTCTTTTGCCCCAGTAGCCTACAGTTTTCAGCCTGCTTTCCCCTCACGTGACCCGAAATTTCTTGCCGCTTTTATATCGAGCGATATTTGTACCTACCCTTCAATTGGTCGCTGCGATACATGATGTTGTTCTATGAGCTACCGATGTCTGAACACACGTTTAAGGATAGGGGTTATCGTTCCTCTCCTTTGGCTTTTGTAATGTATAAATTAAAGGCCTTTCGCTCATTCTGGGCGTTTATTTTACTCCAGACCTCCTTTGCTACCTTATCCCAAGCTACATCTATCTATCTACGAAGAGAACTTCTCTGCTGATCCTATGTTCAACACTTTTGCATCCCTGTCTTATGCGCCCTGGCACTGTATAGATAATATGGTAGCCCAATTGACTCACACCTGGAACTCCCGCAAACCCATTAGAGAGGGACGGCGAGACCGAAAGACGAAAGGCCATAAACTTACTCCAGGTGAATACCGTGAGAGGGATATCACTCGAGTGGCTCAGCTCCAAATTACAGGCAAAAAATACGCCGATGCCACCACAATTTCTATCAATCGTGTACATGGCTTCTGGGGCCGGTTAGTTGCAATCCATAGCAGACCTACTACACTAAACCGTGCTAACAATTGCTTCATGAAGCCACTGCGAGTTTATGAAAGTTGATGCCCATCGACATCTCGCCATATGTGTGGCCGAGAACTTCCGGGTCTACATTGATTGGCGACTGAAGAATTTCAGCATCAAGAAACAGAGCACTATTTGGGTCGAATGGAAGTTCCTTCGGTTACTCTTCAAGAGAGAAATAGGTCGGAAGGTGGACAAATTGGCTGGAGAACAAATCAGTGAGGTAAGGTCGAAGCTCGATAATAATTATTCCTCTTAAGTATTCTAACTCATTTTCCTTTATAAGTTCGTTCTGGGCCCCTTGACGGACGAGTACGACCTAGACCTGTCGATAAAATTCAAGCTGGTAGTTGGTGTCGAAGATCTCGTGGCCATTCTCCACTACCAACTGGTGCTTAGATACAGCATCTGTCACCCACGAATGATATACCGTGCAACTACCGCTGCTTATGCTAATGATCGCCTACACCTCCTCGCGACCGGGGACCCTTATCGAGAGTGGTTGTCTCCGTGGGTCCAACGATGCCCTTTGCTACAAAGATATCATGCTGGAGTTATTCCTAACCCAGATCAGCCGGATCAGCATGTCCTTGTGATGGAAGTATCTCTTCTATACATGAAGGGAAAGTGAAATAAGTCACAACCGTGAGCTCCGCCTATCCGGCATCTTGTATTAATATAACTAAAAATTTCGCATAGAACAACTTACATCTTCCATGAACAGGATGATAACCTCGCCATTTGCCCCGTATCGCATTTCCTTGCCTTAGCGCTCGCTGCTGACACATTTGAAGCGCGAGGCATTAGTTCAATTGAGGATGTATTTCGTATTCAAGTGCAGGCACCCCGAAACAGCATACAACTGAAATCGAAATCCAACATACTTGACGTCCCTGTTTTCCATCGAGCTGTACGTACAGCACAGGGTGTTCGAATATCTCCAGATAGGACGCTGCCATATGATACATTCAATCAATATCTTCAACGACTGGGTCGTAATGCAGGGTTCGAGCACAAGTTGACACCGTACTGCATTAGGCGAGGAACTGCTAACGCGGTTGATAGTGAGTCTCCTTACCTATTACCTATATTCAATCCCCACATCAATGTATTCTAATACATTTATACATTTTAGGTATTGCAACTACAAGTGAACGCAATCAAGTCATGGGCCACTCGCGAGCGGACATCTTCGAACGATACTATATCTTGCAGAAGGTCAAGTGGGACGTGCAGTCTGCATATATTGGCTGTCCAGCTCGAGAATCCATTATCAACGCCGTTGGGAGGTTTAGTCTCACACGTGATCCCCGTGTTCCAAAAGAACTTAGTGATGAGCAAAAGGCTGCAGTCGAGCGGGACCCAAGGCTTGTCAAGCTTTCCGGCCAGCATCAGTCATTGGCCAAGCTTATAAACAGAAAACATGGCTCTATCCCAAAGGCCAAAGGCACAGCACTGCATCGCGAATATATTGAACTTGGAGATGATATCAGGGCTGAAAAACCGTCGCTATATCGAGAGGCATTTGACCGTATGAGGGAGGAATTCTTTGCAACAATAGATACTATTGAAATCGAAAAACAGCTTCTGGGGTTATCTGGTGGCGACAAATTCAAGGGGGAAGATGAAAGTAGCGTCAAGTTTACCTTTAAGGAACGAGCCAGGCTTGCACAGAATCTTTTCCGCTCGTCAGACTGCACAACTGAAGCTCCGCACGAGATTTATGCCCGGCGAGTGCAGACAATTCAGGATTGGGTTTCCCTCTGCAGTCTGCAGGAAGGGACACGCAGGCGGAAGGCTCTGTATTCCAGTTGCGGATTCGATATCGACCAGGCTGATGGTATAATTGACGCGGACACCTTTCCTATTTTGTGCCCAGGAACCCAGTGCCTCTTCTGTCTCGGAGATAGTCAGCTGCCGCATTCTTCGCGGATGTACTCTTTTTCACGCCCTGATCACCTTCGAAGACATGTCCAGGACTGCCACCTCCAATACCATAATGCGAATACTCCGCTCTGGTGCCCCCATCCATCGTGCCTGGAGGTGCTAGATGGTGTTAAACATTTCAAAGAGCACGCTATTTTGACGCATAACATACATCTTTGATTGATCGCCCAGACATTGGATAGGAGCTAAAGAGTTTAGGTGATGCAAGCTGGAAAGCTGTTTCAGAATACAGCATGTATCATTTGCTCGTGTTCCGGTGTATATAAAACGAGGGCAGGAAAGATAAAATATATATTTCCTTCGTCGGTAGATCATCAGATATTCTGAGGAGATACGAAGCTTTATTCTGATACGCTTTATTCAACACACGCTGTTTGAACGGATACGTTCAAAGCAGATATGTGGGCCAAAGTAGTAGAGTAAATAGCCATCCTGTGGTGAGCGGCGGAAGAAAAACATTAGCAGATTAGGGAATGTATTCTTAACCACTTAGGGCAAATTAGACTAGGTACACATAAATAGCAATAGGGAGACAATGAATGACGAATCCATATGACCTATCCAGGTAGAAATTGATCTGCAAAACTTGTCGACGAAAGTCTCTTCTGGGAAATATAGAATAACAGGTGGGCAAGTAGAAATCAAAGATAAACTTTATGTATCAAAGCCGTGAGGGTTTTAAAATGCATAACTCCCTGAACCCTCTCCAAACACGCTGGATGAGGGCATAGAAACTTAGCATCTGCAGCTAAATAGCGGAGATGGGTGTCGCGCACATGCCTTTGGAGGTGATCCGTGCGTGAGAACGAATATGTCCGGGTATCATATGCTAGTTGATTATTTCCAAGGCAAAACAGGCATTGGGTGGCTGGACAAACAATAGGAAATACGTCAGCATCAGCATCAGTTGGGTCATCAACCTCCATCTTTGGGGCAATGAGTCCGTAACTCGAAGCCCTCCGCTTGCAAGGGACTCCCTGTAGGCTACAAAGCGCCGCCCAATCACTGATAACCTGCAGCTGATGATTGTAAATCTCATTCTGCGCGTCTTTACCGCAACCAAGAGGTCGAAAAAGGTTTGACGCGAGGAGGGACCGTTCGGCGAAAGTAAACTGGACTCCGCCATCCTTAATCTCGAGGTCGTCGGTAGTAGGTGATCCTAGAAGCTGACGCTCAATCTCGATAGTATCTATTGTGGCAAAAAACTGTTCTCGGATCTTCTTTCGTGCCAATTGCCTCAGAAATCGTCTTTCACTTTGAATAATTCTCCCAAGCTTGCTGTATTGGGCATAGAGGTCAGTACCACGTGCTTTTGCTACTGACCCATATTCTAATTTCATATCGTTCGCCATATCCTGCCTCTAGCCATTAAACTCGACAAGATGGGGTTCCTGTTCAATAGCAGATTTCTGTTCGTCCGTCAAGTCCTTTGGAACCCTCGGGTCTCATGTCAAACTCATCTTCCCAACAGCACGAATGACAGAAGCACGCGCCGGGCAGCCAAGATATGCAGACTGGATATCCCGTTTCACCTTCTGCGACATATAATAGCGTTCAAATATATCAGCCCGAGAATGCCCTAGCACCTGGTTCCATTCAGCTGTAGTTGCGACGTCTACACTCAATTAGCATTCAGAGGACTAATATGGGAATTTAAGCTGTAGTGGCATACCGTCAACTACATTTGCTATTCCCCTCCTGATGCAATAAGGGGTTAGTGGCGCTTCAAGACCGACATTACGGCCTAACCTTTGAATATATTGATTGAACATGTCATATGGCAAAGCACGGTCGGGAGAGATGCGGATTCCCTGTGCGGTGTGAAAAGTACGGCGAAATATCGGTATTTCAAGTATCTCGGGTTTCCATCTTATCTGTAGACTATTCCTGTAAGAAGGGACCGTGACCCGAAATATATCCTTTGGAGAAACACACAATCTGCGAACGCCAGCACAAGAAAATGAGAAATTGGACACAGCACTAAGTTGTCATCCCTCTTGTGAAATATGTAGGTTGTCCTAGATCAATAGGTCAATACAATCGTGGTGTGGGCGGGGGGGTGGGGGGTTCCTACAGTTGGGACTTGTTTCTCTTTCCCTTCATATACATCAAAGTGACCTCCATCACCAGAACGTGACGCTCGGGTTCCTCTGGATTGGGGATAACCCGGAAGTGCCACATCTCTATACCGTAGGGCGTTGTTTGAGCCTCGCACACAACTACTCTCAATGAGCACCCCTGGGCGGGAGGACATGTATGCGGTCATCAACATTAGTAGCGGCAATTGTACTGTATACCGTTCATGAGGGGCGACTGATGTATCTAGACACCAGTGATAAATGCAGGATAGATAGTAATCGTGCTGCTGCTTACTCACGCACCTCTAGTGAGTGCGCCACATCAAAATGATAAAAACACTGAAATTTATCTCAGCGGGCTCAGACCTCTGGCTCGGTTTGAACGGGTTGCAGCATTATTATTAACTAGTTAATCCGGCATGACACTAACCTACTTTTGATACAAGTCATGTGCTCAGAGCAATCCTCACCAGAGAGTCTGAGAAGAAATAATTCCATCTTCAATGAAGATTCCTGAGATTTACAAGGATTTTTCAGATTCTTTAACTTTGACTTTCTATTACTATATATTCACATATCTTTGAGATTTGAAAATCATCTTAGCTTATAGCTAAAGAGAAGAAGAATAGAAATATTTCTTTAATATTTTAAAAAAATTTATATTTAAGATAGATATATACTCTTGAAAATGAATATATTTTTTGATCTCAGAATTTCTAAGAGCTTTTTTTTATATGAGGAATTGAATCAAAATTCCTGTATTTAAAAACACACTAGTTAACTTTGAGATGATACTTCTATTCTAAGAACTTGAGATATGAATATAAAAATCAGATATATTATAAGAACATTATTATTCTAAGATTCTAAGATAATATAGAAATAATGAATCTATGAAGTTGAGTTGAAATTCTCTTTCATACTCAGAGTACTGAGTAAATTCTTTCTATGTTATTAATAATTAAAAACTATTTCTTCTCAGATACTTTGTAAGATATTATCACTTATATAACCTGATTTTACTATTTGAGTTAACTTATTGCTTATTTGAGATTAGCTCATAATATAATCATCAATTCAGTGTTAAAATAGTAATAAATATCTTAAGAAGTATCTGAGCTTACTGAGATAAACTGAAATGATAAAAATATCTTAATACATACAAGTCTCTGTATGCAAAGACATTGCAGAGCTAAGCTCAAAACAGAAGATCTTATAAGATTGATTTTACAGCTTATTATTAATAATAATAGAAGGGATAGAACTGTAAAAACATATAGAGATTCATTTTTCAGTGTAAAAGCATCAGCTAACTAAGTAAGAAAAAAAAATAAAAAACACTCTGCTCTGTCTCATCAGCTTATATATTATTCTCAAGAATAGTTTAAATAATCTGAAGAAGACTTATAATAGTTCTGAATTTAATCTTCAGAGCTGTATAATGTATTCTTCTTACACAGAGTCTCATTTTCAATATAAAGAGTCAAAATCTCAATATTATAATTATTAACTGACTCAACACTTGCTGTCTGTTTTTTCAAGACTCTAGTCTCTGTATTCTCAGCTACAGAGCACTTCTTGAATGAGCTCTTTTTCTTAACTTTGTTTCTCTTTTCATTCTTCTACTTCTTTTCTTTCACTTTATAATTCTTCTTACTGACATTGACTATGTATAACTATTAGTTAATTGTATTAAAATTAATATATTTTATATTGAAAAGAGACTCACTTCTATGATATTATTATTATTATTATTATTCTTCAATTATAGATGTATGCAGTCAGAGACTATGACATCTACCTGAGAACTTTAGTTCTCAGGGTTTTTTCTATGTCTGTAAAGTTAACTATTATACATTCATCAATTTCAGATATGCAAAATCAGAAAATTCCAGCTCAGAATACAAAAACTGTTTACAAATTGCAGTGTTTTAACATCTTTTGATACTTTGAAATCATTTGACAATATCATGACAAAAGAAAAGAGAAAAAGAACACAGTCTCAAAGATAGACACATTAAATAGATAGATAGAAAGAAATTGAAAGGAAAAGATAAAGAAAAAGATAAAGTAAAGAGAGACTATAATAAAACAAATTATTAAAAGAGAGTGTATAGCTGTTTTAACAGACTATATCTGATCAATTTCCTTCTCTTCATATTCAGATAATTCTGAATTTAGCCATTTTCTTGTAGCTGCTTGAGTTTCTGATAGAAAGTCTATTAAGTATTTAATTCCTGTCTCAGTTGAGAATAAGAATCTTATATTTAATTAATTTAGATCATACTTCTCTTTCAATCTGACTCTGAGACTATTGTATAATGCACAGTGCATTACAATATGCTCAGGATTCTCATTTGTATTGCAGAATGAGTATTCTATTGAGTCAAATCTATCATCAAATCTTTGTATATAAGATTTGAAATAGCCATGTCCTAGTTTCAGCTGTATTATAGATGAGAATATTTTCTTTTTACATTTAATTGAACAAGATTTCCACTTGAGTTTTGTTTCAAATCTTGAATAATGTATACTCTTCTTTTGTTTCTGCCAGCTTTCATTCCACTTGTCTAAACAAGATTCTTTTATTTTTCTCTTTATAAAAGACCAGGACATAATTTTTTGAATAGATCTGCTTAATTCTGCACTCTTTTTTGCAGCTGAATCAGCCAATTCATTGTCATGAATATTCATATGAGCAGGAATTCAGTGCAGATGAATTATCAGCTTTGATATTCTTCTCTTTTGAATTTTTAAAACAGAGTTTAAGATCAGTTTAAGATTTATTTGATCATTATAAATCTGACTATTTCTAAGTCTTTTTAAAGCAGCTTGACTATCAGAGAATATTTATACCTCTTTCAAACAATTTCCTCTTTTATAAGATTTTATTTCAATGAGTTTGAAAGCTTTCACTATTACAAATAGTTCAGCATCAAAGACTTCACATTCAGAGCCTAGATTTCAGAAATCTGAGATAAAATCAATATTATCTTCAGTATAAGCAATGCCTGCACCTAATCTATTCAAGTTCTCATTTTTTGAGTCATCTGAATAAATCAGAATAGAGTTTTTTATATTGATTGTAGAAATTCTCTTCAAATACTGTTCATATTCTTTCTCTTTTGATAGTTCACTTATTTATAAGTCTATAAGAGATTCAAGCTTTTCTCTCCAGAGAGATAACTTCTCATGATCAACTTTTTCAATATTTAAAGAAGAAAATTGATTTTTAATCAGAGAGCATAGTCTGTACAGTTGAGAAGACATTTTCTTTGAAGAATTATTTTCATTTCAATCAAGAAATCTATTCCAATCCAGTTCATTTCCAGAGTTAATTGATGGAAATGAAGAAGAGACTCTTTCTCTGATTATATGATTTGAGCTCATCTTTACAACTCTCAGAGCATAGTTCATACAGGTCTTTTCAAATCTAATAGCAGAAGAAGGAATTGAAGCTTCAATTTTCATTGCTTTAATAGAAGATGATTTAAATGCTCTCAGAATTCTTCTCAAGACTCTGTTTTGCAGACTTTGAAAGAGTTCAGTGAAATTCTCTTGATTATTTCATCAAACTTGAACTTCATAATTAGCTACTGATGTAATACAGGCTATATATAACTGTCTCATAGCCTGGAAGGATAGACTCCTCTCTGTATTTGATAGTCTGATTATGTTGTTCAATAGTCTTTCTGCCTTGACAGTTCTTTGTTGAATGTGATATTTAAAATTCAACTTGAAGTTTAACCATACTTCTAATCATTTGATATTTACACTGGGTTTAATCTCTCTATTTAAAAGAGTTAGAGATAGTTCTTTCTCATTGAATCTAGAAAAGAAATGAATTAACTCAGTTTTATTCATATCAAATTGAATTTGATTGATATCTGCTCTAACAAAGATTTCCTTTGCAGCTTCTTCAATTACTTTCAAATTCTCTTTGATAGTTTTTGAGCTGTAGACTAGATCAATATCATTCACATAACTCAGAGATCACACTATTCTCATATTTCTATTTTTGAATAGATATGCAGTGTATATTGCAAATAAAATGAGTGAGATTGAAGATTTCTGTGATACTTCTATTTTTATCTCAGTCTTATCTTGTTTCATTCCATCAAAGAAGAGTTGTATAATTCTTTTAAACATAAAACAGTTAACTCATTTTATTAGAGAAAGTGACAGTTTTAATATCTTCAATGTCTGAATTAACTTTGACTTTGAAACATGATCAAATGCTTCTTTTATATCAATAAAAACTGCAGTTGAGACCAGACTCTCATGCTTTGCTATTTGAATATCATGAATAACTGAGAGAACAGTGTCAATTGCAGAACACTGTTTTCTATCTCTCATTTATTCACTGAATAAAAGAGAATCATCTATAGAGCTTATAAAGAATAGTTGAGTAGCTATTATCTTTTCTAAAACCTTTTCTAAACAGTTCAATAGAGATATTACTCTATATAACTTAGAAATTGAAGTTTTTCTATTAGGTTTTGCAAGAATCACTTCAGTGGCTTCTCTTCAGCATTCAGAATGATATTCATTTTTCAAGAGATTGAAAAAGAGCTCAAAATATTCATTCTTTAAGTAGAAATATGTATTTTAAATAATCAAGTGATTAATTGAATCAGGATCTGCAGCAGTTTTAACAGAACTTGAGAAGATAGCTGACTCTAATTCATCTTGTG